AACTTCTCCAAAAATGACTAATCATCCACCAGTAGCTCAAGACAGTGCATTTCTCTGTGTGTGTGTGTGTGTGTGTGTGTGTGTGTGTGCCTTTTAAATAATATCTATAACCATTTTAATTACTTTATCGGAGATAAAGGCTACAACCAGAAAGCAATTAATAAGCAATGCCTAATAAGTGAAAGAGATACCACAAAATTGACGCACTGATGAAAAGACCACGCACTTGCTTCCTGAAGCAGAAACGTCAGGCCTGCAATCCCGAACCTGAAGCAAGGCTGCCGGGTCCCCACCACAAGCCATCCCCTCCTCCTTCCTAAAGGGGAAAAAAGCCCCTCTGGCTGGGGCCTATCCTCCTGCATGAATCAGGGAGCACTCCCGCCCGGGAAGTCTTCATCACGTGGGACACAGGGGCAGGAGCCTGGGTCATAGGTAGCACCGCCGAGGTTCTGGAACACACAGATCTATGGTCACCTCACTTTGCAACTTCTCATTATATGAAATAATAAATTTTCCATACCCTTTAAAGCAGTCCAACCAGAGTTGTATCTTATTTGCAGCCAAAATAATCATAAGTATGACAACGCCGATTTACTGTTATGTGCTGGACAGTTTTATTAAGCTGGGCTCCCTACTTCCAAACCTAAAACGTATTCCAGTAGTAAATTAGATAGGAGGAAACAGAGTGCTTCTTATATACGTGGTTCCAAAAACAGAAAGTGACAACTGATGGCCTGGAAGCAAGGAAATAGACTAAATTGTAAAATGAAGAGCAGAAACAAGAAGTTAAAAATGCAAAAGTGTGTCAGAGCAGAGAATGCCACACACTCAAAAGCCTATAAAAGCATCATTTTCTTAAAAGATCAATATTGAAAGAATCTGCTTGGAAAATTTTCCATCTAAACCAACAATTCTTTTTAAGTTTTTCTGCTTAAGGGTTGAATCAAACTTATCTGGAAAAAGAAAAGAGCTAGTTAGAACCACTAACTCACTGAGAATTTTACACATTTTAGATTTTACCCTACATATGCCAGAAAGCATTGTTCTGAGCCACTAGGAACTCAGAGGCCACATTATAAATAGTGACTAGGTTCCAATGAAGGTTCACAGAAGCCCATTTGACCCCAAATGGGAACTGTGGTGGCAGGGATTGGGACACAGCGTCTACCCATTAGAAGGTGAAACGTTATCCCGCAGAACAGACCCAGGTCATCTGGCTCGGACCAAGGAAGTACTTCTTAAAACTATGCTACTGGGAGTATGCTGCCCCGTTAGCTGCCTGCCCATCTCTGGGCAATGCAAACTGAGGCTGGCTGGCAGCCTGGGCTGGAGAACAGATACCGTATCAGGTGGGAAGCTGGACCTTTAAGATCTCCAATTCTGTTTTCAATTTTCCCATGTCCTTTTGAGCTCCGAGGACTCAGAGAGGTTATGAATGGTGGCTGTTCTGTCCCTATAATTTTCTCAGTCAGCACAGACCTCCATCAGTGAAGCACCTGACACCAGGCACGGTTCCACAGGTGGTCCCTCCTCGCTGCATCACTGCTGGTACCAGTCTCCTCACTGCCCATCCTGCTGCTGTCTAAAATCCCCAAGCAAAGGATCAAAGATGTCACCACTTGTGAGAGCAGGAGTGGGCAGGACACCTTGATGGCCATGGTGGGGTGATGAAATGTGTACACAATTACTAGCTCCTCTGGCATAGTCTTGGAGCTTGACTCTGATATCTTCCCTTCTCCAAAACCTGGGTCAGCTATGCCTTTGTCCATGAAGACTTCTCTAAGAGTCTTCCTGGTTGAAAGAACATTTCAGCAGGTTCTTACATCTCTTGTCTAGTACCTCTTCCACTCTGCATTATAGTTATTTGTGGGCAGATCTTATCTCCCCTACTAGGCCGTAAGGCCCTATAACCAGGATCCACGAAATCCAGAAGAAATTAGTTCTCTCTCCATAGGAGCTGACAGTTTGGCTGAAGCAATTGGACAACTGCCCCAAGGATGGGTTTTGAAAGTAGCAGCTTTCATTCAACGCCAATTCATTCATAAGCAGCAGGCATGTACAGGGTGTCTGATGTGTGTCGATTGTGTGTTGGACATTGACTTGGATTCTTGAGGAAGGCATAAGGTGAACAAATGTTATACAAAGACTTTACCCTCTAGAACCCACCATCTAATAACGGAGGCCGTCACCTTCTCTGATCCTCAACATCAACTCAGAAGCAGAACTTGGAATCAGGACATGGCTGGTCACCCGAAAGAGATGTAACTCTATAACTGATCACCTGGAGAAAGAGTGGCAAATTGCTATTTTATTCCACTTGACTTCGGACATTCCAACAAGTCTGAGGGTATGCTGACTTTATCTAAGTCTATAGAAATAAGGTAAGGACAAACCACAGGAAGTGTCATTGTCCCGGCCCATGGAGGGATTGGAGAGTGAAGGCTGGCACTAGAGGTGTGGATAGAAAGTATGAGGAAAAGCAGACAGTGTGCTTTATCTTACAGAGGACACAAACACAGAGTGTGGAGCCAAGCTGCCCAGCTCGGAATCCCAGCTTGGCCGTTTACTAGCTGTGTGACCTTGGACAGTTGCTTAACCTTTCTGTGTCTGTTTCCTCACTTGTGAAATGGGAATAGTGATAATACCTTTCTCATACAGTTATGGTGAGGATTTAGAGAGTTAATGCAGGTAAAGCGTTCAGAATGGTGTCAATAGTGTGAGTTGTTACATTATTATGATGACTGTGCTGTAGTCTGGCCCGAGAGCAGCTCAGAATCTGGGCGGGACAATCTCACCTCTACCAGTAAGGTCAGCCTCTTCACTGTGGAGACACAAAGCCAGGTTCTCAGCTCTCATGACCAACACTTCCCAGAGAATGTCAGCTGTTAACCCGGGGAGTAAATGAATTTCCAGATCCTTCCAGTCTCGGCAGAAAGGCTTCACCAGATACTTGCATGTAATATTCCCAATGGAGCAGAAAATGTGGAGGTCCTCCTCCTGGACATTCTCTCTTGCCTCAGTGTAAGCCTAGTTATCCAAAGAAGACTCTCACAGTGACATCCCTCTGTCCCCAGACACCTCAAGACTACAGCCAGTCTTCATTGGTTCGGTGTTAGTTATGGCCCTCATCCCTGGACCTGAGTCCCCGCATCAGCCTTCTGATGGCATTTAGTCCATATTTCCCTGCGAATTCCACGATCCTCATAAAACCCAGACTTACTTTGTCATTGTGTCATTTCTCTGCTCAACTGTGTCCGGTGAGGAGATACAGATGAAAACAAAAATGGCATAGAATTGACCTGCCATCAGGATAATGATTAGCATTGAATTCTGATAATATCAAGTACAAAAGGTAGAGTCTGGGGAAAGGACATTTTCACACATGCTGCTGGGACTATCCATTAGTACCGTCATTTAGGAAGGCCACTGGGCAGTGTGGGCTATTGAAAATACACATACTCTCTGACCCAGCAACTACAAGGCTCCAAGTTTACCTGAGGGACTTCCTGTGAGAATGGAGGAGGCATATCAAGGACTTTCTTGAGTCTCATCCTTTGGAATAGAGAAAAAACTCAGAGGAGCTAAATGTTCATCAATAGGGAAATGGCTAAACTGTGACATATTCTGGAATACTGGAATACTATGTACTGGAATACTATGCAGCATGAAAAACATGAGATGTCTCTAGATTTACTGGTATAGAAAGATGTTACAGTATGTTATGGGATAAACCATGCCCTGCCCCCCAAATTGGACTGTTGAAGATCCAACTGCTAGCACCTCAGAATGTGACTGTATTTGGAGACGGGGCCTTTAAAAGATGTAATTAAGGTAAAATAAGGTCTTTAGGGTAAGTCCTAATCCAATATGACTGGTATCCTTGTAAAAAGAGATTAAGACACAGACACACAAAGGGAAGTCCATGTGAAGATAACAGGGAGAATGCAGGCATCTACAAGACAAGGAGAGAGGTCTCATTTCTATTGCTTAAGCCACCCAGTTTGTGGTTTGTTGTTGCAGGAGTTGGATTAGCAAACTAATACATAATATTAGATATTTTCTATGGGTATGGATAGATATGGGTAATATCTAGAAAATAGAATGGAAAAGGGTCCACCCTACTCTGATAACAATGGTTACCTTTGGGAAAAGTTGGGATTGAGATTGGGAATAGTGGTTAAAAAGATTGTAGCCTTAAAAATAAGGTTTTAATTTTTACAATGAGAAAGCACTCATATATTATTTGTACATCAGTTAAAAAAAAACCTCTTTCACGGCACTCCATTAAATACAGTATGCAATATATTTCACACCCTAGATGCAACAGTCTTTAGAATTTCCTTCCATGCCCACTCCCATCCCCCACCCCTCGCGCACCTGTTTGTCACACCAGACTATCCCATCCCTCTGAAGCCTCTGTGCCTCTTTCTATCCCATTTGCCTAGAATGCCTTCTCTACCTTTTTAAGCCTGGGTGGCTTATTTTCACACTTCAGAACCTAGCTCCAATGTCACCCACTTTATAAATATGTCAACAAAAGGCTTACTCATCAGATTTTCCAGAGCTATACTTCTCTGTTCTTATTCGTGTGTTCGCAGCACCTATCAGTGCTTATAGGCAAATGCTCAGTAAATGGTTCTAAATTCACAGATGATAGGAATGTTTTCTGGCAGGTTGTTTTTTCAATCCAGGGTATCCCAAAGGCACAGCATTTCATTCTGTGTGTGTTAACAGACTCTCTAGAGACTAACACTGCAAACATGACATGAGCGAGGTCCAGCCTTTAACTGTTTCTTTAATACAACAGGGATAACTAGATTTCTGCACCAGCCAAGCCCCATTTGCTTTCAATTCTAGTGAAATCAGCTGAGAATGTATTGCAATTTATTTTATTCAAGTTCTGTGCCCATAAAGGTCTGCAATTACTTAACCCACAATAGGGCCAAATCAAAAATGCTTATTGACCTCTGACTTGGAGGCTCTGATAATGCAGGTCTTACCTCTTCATCGGCTTGGGCGAACATTCTCTCTCCAGATTGGAGGATGTGTGTTTCACATGCATTGCATTGTAGGAAGTGTGAGTATAGTCATTTTCATCACTGTAGTCTGGACCAAGTAACGTCCGGGCCCACGTTCCCATGTCATAAGGAGGAAGGGTTCCTCCAAATTCAGAGGGCAAAAATTCAGGGTGGATTAGCTGGTGAAGGCTGTTTAAATTATTTCCATGCAGGAAAATCTGCAAAGGAAAAAACAAGTATCAACAAAAAAAACCCCAAACCTACGAGCCACTATTTAGCCTAAAACACAATTTAGCGATGACAAATTGGATGCGCTGCTGGTGATCATGGTGTTTAAAGAGGCACTCCATTTTGTGTCTGCAGCTTAATCTTCGTAAAATGTTAATTTATTGCTCAGAAAAGGGGCTGAATTAATAGTCCTTAAAAAATGAAGTTTATGAACAAATTGGGTCTTATTTGGCCATGGCCCAAATTTACACATACAGTAATCTCCTAATTATCCCTGCTGATAAAAAGGCTATGACGTAGACCACGCAAACCCCCAATCATGCTTCACATGCATCCCCACATTGTTCTCTTCCTTCCACTCCCCGCCCCCCCCGCAGTGCTTTCTGCCCTCTGTACCCCGCCCCCATCTCACCATCCTTCCCAAACCTTCACCAAGTGGCAGCCTCTTCTTCATTCTGTCCCAGAGGCACCCGCACACTCTGGTTCTCCTCCTCGCTTCCCCCAATTAACTAGTATCTGCTGACTCCTATTTTCTCTGATCTGTTCATTTATGTCTTGCTTCCCCACAGGAAGAGAAGAATCCTCGGGAAAAGGGGTGATGTTTTCTTACTCTATTAATACGTTCCTAGCTCCCGGGGTGGTGTGGACACGAGGTAAAAGCCTTATCAATTCTTAGGCAGTGGAACTGAAAACTGTGGCCTGAAAACTTATGGGTATTTTTGCAGCCATCTTCCATTTGTGTGTGGATTGAGGGCTGACACGCACATAAATTTGCATCTTCTGAACATATAGTGGATGGTGATGGAAACTGGCGGAGCAGGGGAGAAAACATCCCCAGATCACAATTATTTTCAGACAAATCCACAAAGTGGATAAGCCACTAGTTGATAATTACCATTTCCTACAATTTAGGAATTGACTCCCGAAAGTCTACTCAAAGCGCACCTGTGGAGTGATCGCGGTTCCCACACTTCGTGTTGCAAACTCAATGCACCTGAGTTAGGCAAGTGTAGGACCACTGATTATATTCACATAGGTGTATGCATGCATACCAGTTAGCCTTTCTGTAATATAAAGGTGACTTTTAAAATATTTAAATATAGGGGCGCCTGGGTGGCTCAGTGGGTTAAGCGGCCGACTTCGGCTCAGGTCATGATCTCGCGGTTCGTGAGTTCAAGCCCTGCATCAGGCTCTGTGCTGATGGCTCAGAGCCTGGAGCCTGTTTCAGATTCTGTGTCTCCCTCTCTCTGACCCTCCCCCATTCATGCTCTGTTTCTCTCTGTCTCAAAAATAAATAAACGTTAAAAAAAATTTTTTTTAATATTTAAATATAGCATAATATACCATAAAAGTATTATCAATTATGCCATATACTATATTAAAATATACCACGTAATGGACACATACACTTACTACCTTGCTCTGTTACATTGATTTCAATTTATGATACAATGGCATCATTTAGAAAGGAAAGGGACAAGAAGCTAAGTGCCAAGATTCTTCAGAAGAATATGGTAGCACTTCAGAAAACAATGTACATTTTCAGACAGTGGATTTCAATTTTAATAAGAATGATGGTTTTTGAAGAAATTCCCATGTTCTGGCTTTTGCAAAACACTTTTCAGGAGGAGCTAAAGTATCTGAAGCATGGAAAAGCAGAGCTAAATATTAGCTCCGGTTTTTAGAGCAAATATTTGTACCCACCCACCTAACACCTCCAGTTCTTTTGTTTGTTTGTTTTTGAATTCTTTATACTTTCAATTTTATTTGTGATATTCATTTGTTTGTTTCAAGTTTTTAAAATTAAATTCCAGTTAGTTATCATATAGTGTAGTATTAGTTTCAGGAGTAGAATTTAGCGATTCATCACTTACATACAACCCTCAGAGCTTATCACAAGTGCCCTCCTTAATACCCACACCCATTTAGCCCCTCCCTCACCCACCTCCCCTCCAGTAACCCTAGCGTTTGTTCTCTATAGTTAAAAGTCTGTTGGGGTGTCTGGGTGGCTCAGTTGGTTAAGCGTCCGACTCTTGATTTGGGCTCAGGTCATGATCTCACAGTTCATGAGACGGAGCCCTGAGTCGGGCTCTGTGTTGACAGAGCAAAGCCTGCCTGGGATCCTCTGTCCCTCTGTCTCTGCCCCTCCCCTGTGTACGCGTGCACTCTATCTCTCAAGATAAATAAATAAACATTTAAAAAAGGAGTCTCTTTTATAGTTTTCCTCTCCTTTCCCCCATCCTCATCTGTTTTATTTCTTAAATTCCACATCCAAGTGAAATCGTATGGTATTTGTCCTTCTCCTGACTGACTTATTTAGCGTAGCGTTATACACTCTAGCTCCATTCACGTCATTGCAAATGGCAAGATTCCATTCTTTTTACGGCTGAGAAATATTCTATTGTATATATATATACCACAACTCCTGTATCCATTCATTAATAGATGGACATTTGGGCTCTTCCCATAATTTGGCTATTGTTGATACTGCTGCTTGGGGTGCACGAGTCCCTTCGAATCGGTATTTTTGTATCCTTTGGGTAAATACCTAGCAGTGCAATTGCTATATCGCAGTTCTCTTCTTAACTTTTTGAGGAACCTCCATACTGTTTCCCAGAGTGGCCACACCAGTTTGCTTTCCCACCGATAGCCAACACCTCCAGTTCTGAAAGGACAAATGAGTGCTGTGGAAACTGGCCGTCTCTCCTGCAGTGCTATGGGATGGAAGAACTCAGCAGACAGGAGGCTGGATTCTTCACCTGTCAGATTCTGTTCTGTGCCCAGAGTTCCAGAAACTCCCTTCTATGCCCTGAGCCCTGGTTAGCAAAAAGCTTCCAAAAGTCCGTGTCTCCTTAGGCTGGTGAGTTCTAGTTCTTAGTTCCACGCTTATTTGGGGACAGGAGAATTACCCCTCCCTGCTGTACTATTTCCTAAGGATCTGGAGGCAGCTGAGGTCTAGGAGTTGGGGATAACACAGAGTGTGTATGTGGGTGTGTATGTAGGGGGGTTCCTCACATGATCGTTCCCCCTGAATACTCAGGCTCTTCCCCAGAACGGTTCCCCTGGGTATAGGGGCATACGTAAGGTGCCATGAGACTGACCCTGGCCAGATTCCCTTGAGAGGGACCCAGGAGGTAGCTGAAATCAACAAGTTTAAAAGAACGGGAGCTAAATGATGAAGAGAATGAAAGTCACTGAGTCTCCACCACATCGGTGGCCTTATGCTACCTGCTCTCATATGCTGCTTCATTGAATTACCCAACTACCCAATAGCTCTGTGATATGGGTGTTTGTTTCTCCGTCTTATAAATGAGGAAACTGAGATTCAGAGGGAGTGCAGAAACAATGTTCAGTCTCTCAGCTAATCAGAATGCCATGAAAAGCCGCAGCCCTGATCGAAGGTGCTGGCCTCCCAAATGTCATCAGCCGAGGCAATTAAGACTTTAAAAGCCTTCCTCCTCAGAGCATTATTATTTCTCGTGAAGAATGCTTTCCCAGCCTCAAAGGTGACGGAGCTGGCAGCTATGACCCAAGGGCCACGGGGGAGAAAAACAAATGGTAAACATTCTTCATCAGGATAATACATTTGCAGGACAAAATGCTAGCTATTAAAATATTCCATGAACGGGAAGCTGCTTGACCCCGTATCTCCCTCGAGCACTTACAGTAAAATGGGCATCTGGTATTTGCATGCCTTCAAAGTTTCCTTTGGTTGGTCGCTGGGACTCTGAAAATAACCCAGTTCTACTAAATTATTGATTAAATCCAGGCCATTTGCAAACTCCAGCTGAGGCTCGAAGGCTCAGGGAGTGCAGAAAAGCAGAAGACCCACAGTGAAAACTTAGGAGAGACGGAGAGAGAAAGAGAGAGAAGGGAAGCAGAGAGATCGAAAGGAGGGTCCGGTCACTGTCCCTCTGCACCCCCCCATTGGGTGTTTGTTTGCATTACCCGCTTCCTGGTCTTGTCTTTAAGGAATGGCTTGATGAGCGTGTACAGGGCATGAATGTACCAGGGCTGGTTGACGAAATGGACTCCTCCGAAGCGGGCAGGAAAGCTGTCCTGGGGCGGAAAGAGAGAAATGCACACCAGTTAGCACACATTCCAGATTGGATTGGGCCCGCAGGACCACAGCCCCGGGAGCAACCTACTTCTCTCTGACTGAAGCACCAGCTAGTGGTAGGAAAGAAAGAAAGCACACACACTTCCTAGCTGGTAACATCTCCTCTATTCCCCTTGCCTCCTTCCTCCCCTCTGACTCCAAAACTTAAAAATTGTGCCTCCGTGCCAGCCCTGTCTTCCCCAAGTCGCAGTGATAGGACCTCTGACGTGGCACAGGAGCATGTGTGAACCAGGTAGTGAGGGA